TAAAACCCATAAATATGGCACTATGACAAATTGCTAGTGATGTTCCTCATTACTAAGTCATTTTGGATAACAGCATCTGCCAAATGAATAAATATAAACATAATAAAACCAGTACCTTTTTTCTGATTTGTTTGCAACTGTTCTCGTAGTCACGTCTCGCCTCAGGGTAAAATCTTAGCGTTGTGCTTTTCCATGAAAAACGTTACATCCTTCAAATACGCACTCTCCTGCTCGCTCTGTGAATGAATCCGCTCCCTGGAAATGAAAAGAAATCACACAGATGTTACTACATTGGCTCAATCCTTCGCAGTGCATTTTTCATGTCCCCATTTAGATATTTTGTATAGAATATAATACTGTTTTTTGTGTGTAATCCTGTTCATGACATCACTTTTGGTGGGAAAAACAGTGTAAACATCATTGTCTATTCAGCATTTTCTAAAGTTAAAAAGGTATATCCTAAAAAAGAATGATCCGATTTAAATTGTCAGGAACTGGTAAACTGGCCAGCCCTTGAAAACAAAACACTACTTTTGTGTGATTGTTTGTGTGTGTTACCTTTCAGTATCATACTCTGAGCGAAGTTCTTCGAGTTTGTTGTTGAAGTCGAGTGCTTGTTTTTCCAGCCGAAGCACATGACGCTTTAACAGACTGTCCATGCTCTGCTGATGAGAAGTGCGTGACAGCTCTGACCGCCGCTCCATCTTCGACAGCTCATCCACCTTGCTCTGTAAAACACACACATTTGTTACTCCAAGGCTCTGTAATGAAAGTTATAGAAGTAAAACTGAGAGTCAAGTATATATATATATATGTTATATGTAGTCACCTTAATGAGGTTGTCTTGGACTCTTTCGGCTCTCTCAAAGCTCTGGCTGAGGTTTGAGCTGTCATCTCGGGAAGAGCCGGGGATAGGAGGGAGCTTGACACACTGCCCTCGGCTGGACATCCGGGACCTTTCTCTCAGCACAATTGTGTTACGGAAACTGCGAGTGATCTCCTGTTGATACATAAGAATAAGAAAACACCTTAATACAATGCTCAACATATGAACGCAAGCTTAGTGTTAATAATGACCGATGATGGTTGAAAAAACACAGTGAATCCTATGATAGACTTCTTACTTACCCTCTTCATCTCAATTTCTTCTGGGTGTTGTTGAGGCGCTGGTCGTTGTCTCAGTCTAGGAAGTGGCTGAGGTCGCACTGCAGACGGTGGTTGAGGTCGCAGTTTAGACGGTGGTTGAGGCCGCAGTTTACATGGTGGTTGAGGTTGCAGTGTAGGCATGTCCGAACCACTCTTACGTTCCAGGGGCCTGAGCGTGCGAAATGTTTTGCTAGTCATGATGGAAAATAGTACGTTGATCCAAAATCCGACAGGTCAAATTTTATGATCTGAAACCGTACACAGCTGTAATGTGCAATTCAACTGTTCAAAAACAGACCCAAACAGATATAAAATTGCACACTAATCAATAGCTGTAGACTATAAAACTGCACACTAACAGACTATGAAACTGCACTCTAATCAACAGCTGTAGACTGAAGACAACAAGTCACGAGTTTCAGTAGAGGTTTGCAGCGTCTAGTACTGTGACGTGTCGAATAGAATGCATTCCGATGACGTCCGGCAGCAGCAGTGCGTCAGAGCCGCAGAAATTCAAGGTTATTGTTTTGATTTAAAAACTTTAAGAGAGAATGACCTGTCAGCACAGTAAGACCATGAGAGGAATGTAGATAAGGCTACTTGTAGTAATAATACATAGCCTATATATTTTGCGTCACTAAACTGTAGAGCATCAACCACAAGTTTCTGCACGGCCCTAACTAACTAACTAACTAACTAACTAACCCAAAGCATATAACGTTAATGTATTATTCTGTCACGTTATACGATGAAGGTTGAGTCCAACAATAATTCAGTTTACTGACTTTCTCTCACCGACGACGTCTTGTTGAGCTTTTCTATTACATCGAGACGAGCTCTGATTCCGACTGATCTTACTTTAACTTCCGTTGCTCGTGTCTCCCGTGATCATAATGTTTTGCCTTGGAAAACCATTAACGTTAGCCTATAAAGAATACGCCTACAATTTGGCGCGTTGAGTATGTCAATAAAGAATAGAAATACACAAACAATGACATAAAAAGTAAATAAATATGAAATAATACAAATGCTAAAAAATAACGTCTGATAACATGAAGGTTCGGATCCGACTCAGATAATAATATTGTCACTCGCACAATGTCAGTACTGTGACTGTCTAATGTATAATATCAAAATAAAAGCCCTCTAACAGCTGTTTTGTCGATCAAACCAGAAAAAGAAAACGTCTCGGTTACGTATGTAACCCTCGTTCCCTGAGTAGGGAACGGAGACGTTACGTCAGAAGTGACGGAGATTGGGGGTTTCGCATAGAAAGCCAATCCTCTTCGAGTATTAAAACACGAGCCAATGGCATGCAATGCCTTGGGGCTGCGGAAATTTGCATAGCGTACTCCGCCCTACTCCGTGAGTATAAAAGGAGGAAGTGAACGCAACCGCAGTATGTCTTCGCTGAGGAGCCAAGACTGAACTCGGCCTCTACCCAGCGATACAGCAGAAGTGGCAGGGAGACGTAACGTCTCCGTTCCCTACTCAGGGAACGAGGGTTACATACGTAACCGAGACGTTCCCTATCGTAGTCACTTCGAGTTACGTCAGAAGTGACGGAGATTGGGGTCTGTGCCATCACGCCATCTTCAAGCTGTCTTCCAGTGCCCTGCGAAAGACTGAACCCCCGAGCCTTACCTCTTTTTTTTTTTTTTTTTTGGGGATCCGACTTTGACACAGGATTACCAAGGTACACTGGGAACATATCCCGAAGGGGACATGCTACCAGCTGCCTACCGAAGGGAGGACTTAAGAATACACATATGGCCACATAGGAACGCATATGGAACACTGGAGTACCAACCGCAGGTGGCTACTGATTTAAACTCCAGGGGTGGCAGATGGCTTGCCAAGGGAAGACACATGCTCAGAGAGGCTTACAGTGGATAATACACATGAGACGGTTACCATGGGGAACCGTGCGCATGGAGGCACCTAGCTAGCATCCAGAGCAACGCAGTGGTGCCCGCATCGTCGGTGCTGGAGGACTCAAGACTTCAATGGAAGAACTGAGGAAATATCGCACTTATCCAGTCCGGGGAGTGGAGTGGCGAGCAAGCGAAGACACCTGAGCGGATCCAGAACTGGCCGAAACGAGTACGTGAGAGGATACCGGCTCAATTCGCAGATTATAGAATCTGGCGAAGGTGTTGGGTGTCGCCCAGCCTGCAGCTCTGCAGATGTCTGTTAGCGAGGCGCCGTGCGCTAAAGCCCAAGAGGAGGCTACACTCCGAGTGGAATGGGCCGTCACACCAAGGGGGCACGGAAGGCCTTGCTGCTGGTAAGACAAAGCAATGGCATCCACTATCCAGTGGGACAGCCGTTGCTTTGAGAGAGCCCTTCCCTTCTGGCTCCCCCCATGACAGACAAAGAGCTGGTCTGAGGTCCTGAAACACTGCGTTCTGTCGACATAGGTGCGGAGAGCACGTACCGGACAGAGCAGTGCCAAGGCTGGGTCTGCCTCCTCCAGGGGCAGCGCTTGCAGGTTCACCACCAGGTCCCGGAGGGAGTGGTAGGAACCTTGGGCATATATCCAGGCCGGGGTCTCAGGAATACGTGAGAGTAAGCCGGCCCGAACTCCAGGCACACTTCGTCAACAGAGAGTGCGTGCAGGTCCCTTACTCTCCTGATGGATACCAATGCAATCAGGAGTGCTGTCACATAGGACAGGGCAAAAACTCTACCGACTGCAAAGGCTCCAGGGGAGGCCTCTGCAGAGCACCCAGGTCTACTGAGAGGTCCCCAGAGGGCAGGAGGGGAGGGAGGCGGATTTAGCCCCCTCACTCCCCTCAGGAACCTGATGACCAGGTCATGCTTCCCATAGACTTACCTTTCACTGCATCATGAGACGCGGCAATGGCCGCGACATAATCCAAAGGGTGGAGGGCGACAGCCTGCGCTCCAACCCCTCTTGCAGGAAGGAAGCATGACTCCGATCGAACATCTCCGGGGGTCTTCTCAGCGAGAAGAACACCAATTGACGAAGAGGTTTCACTTCAACGCATAAAGGTGTCACGTGGACGACGCTCTTGCGGAAGTGATGGTTGCCGCCACCGCAGGTGGCAGCGAACTCAAACCTGCCTCGTCCCGTCCTGGAGCCACACGTGCAGCCTCCAAGATCGGGACGAGGGTGCCACAGAGTGCCCCGTCTCTGAGAGAGTAGGTCCGGTCTCAGAGGAATAGGCCAAGGAGGTGCTGTCGCGAGGAGCAAGAGTTCGGAGAACCACGTCTTGGTGGGCCAGTAGGGGGCTACCAGCAAGACCTGCTCCTCGTCCTCCTTGATCTTGCACAACACCCGTGCAAGGAGGCTCACTGGGGGAACGCACACTTGCGTGGGCCCCGTGGCCAGCTGTGCGCCAGCGCATCCGAGCCGAGAGAGCCGCGGGTCAGAGAATAACTGGGCGCAGTGGGACGAGTCCCGAGAGGCGAACAGGTCTAACTGTGCCTCCCCGAACTGGTCCCAAATCAGCTGGACCGACTGGGGATGGAGTCGCCATTCGCCGGAGATGGGACGGGCCCGGGACAGCTCGCGGCTGCCCGATTCCGGTCTCCAGGAATGTAACTGCACGAAGGGACCTCAGGTGCTTCTGACTCCATATCAAGAGGTGGCGGGCGAGCTGCGACAACCGGCGCGAGCGTAGACCCCCCCTGGTGGTTGATGTACGCTACTGCCGTAGTGTTGTCTGAGCGGACAAGCACATGCTGGCCCTAGAGCACGCTCGGAAGCGGTGCCGGGCGAGCCGTACTGCCAACAGCTCGAGGCAATTGATGTGCATGAGGCGCTGGGCTCCTGTCCAGGAACCGGCGGCTGCATGCCCATTGCACATGGCACCCCAACCCGTGGTAGACGCATCCGTGGAGACAACGAGATGCCTGGAAACTCGCTGAATAGGGACCCTGTCCGTAAAAAGCTGAGGTTCGACCACGGGAAGAAGGATCGGCGGCACGTCGGAGTCACTGGAACTCGGAGCGAGCCGCGATGCCATGCCCACCTCGGGACTCGATCGCGAAGCCACAGCTGAAGCGGTCTCATATGAAGCAAACCGAGCGGCGTTGCCGCGGCCGCGGATGCCATATGCCCCAGGAGCCTCTGAAAAGTTTCAGTGGAACCGCACTCTTGCCCTCGAACTGTCGAAGACAAGCCAGCAGTGAGTGCGCGCGCTCGTTCGTGAGCTGCGCGGACATGGCGACCGAGTCTATCTCCATGCCGAGAAAAGAGATCCTCTGCACGGGGCAAAGTTTGCTCTTTTCCCGGTTGACCCGAAGGCCCAGACGGGCTAGGTGCCGTAGCACCAGGTCTCTGTGTTCGCAAACCTGAGCTCGAGAGTGTGCTAGTAACAGCCAGTCGTCGAGATAGTTCAGGATGCGAACCCCGTGTTCGCGAAGGGGAACAAGGGCTGCCTCGACGATCTTCGTGAAGACGCGAGGGGACAGAGCTAACCCGAATGGGAGAACGGCGTACTGGTATGCCTGGCCCTCGAAGGCAAACCGAAGAAACGGTCTGTGTCGAGGGAGAATGGAGACATGGAAGTACGCGTCCTTCAGGTCGATCGCTGCAAACCAATCCTGATACCGAACACATTCGAAAATGCGTTTGGCCGTGAGCATTTTGAACGGTAGTCGATGGAGAGAACGGTTCAAAATGCGCAGGTCCAGGATCGGTCGTAACCCACCGGTCTTTCTTGGGGACAATGAAGTAGGGGCTGTAAAGCCCGGACCTCACCTCGGCTGGAGGGACCGTCTCGATTGCACCCTTCGCCAGCAGGGTCGCAATCTCCGCTCTCAAGACTGGGGCATTGCCACCAACCATCGTGGAGCGAACTCCCCTGAAGCGGGGAAGAGACCGTGCGAACTGAATCGCGTAGCCGAATCCGATCGTTCTGATGACCCAGCGGGAACCCCGGGAAGCGCTAGCCAGGCTTCCAGGAAGTGAGCCAACGGGGTCATGCGAACCACAGACGTCCCCCCGGAGGGGCAGCGAGGCGGGTCGACCGGCATGCGTGCAGGAGTTACCCCGTCCGGATGCACCGTCGAAACCCGCTCCCCGACAGAAGAGACCAGGGAAGGCAGAGCGTTCCACGGGGGTCTGTTCTGCCGGGGGTCTGGCGACAGAGGGGGAAGGGATTGGCGTAGCCCGGGGACGACACACGCACCCTTCCGCGCCCTCCGAGACAGAGAGGAATGAACGGGGCGACGCACTGGACGTCGTGCGCGCTCATTCCAGTCTGTGTGCTCAATGACAGTGTCAGCTTTTCCTGAACCAGCTCAGGGAGCTAGCTAGAACAAAAGATTCTCCACCGGCCCTCCACCGGGGAAGGAGGGGCCCTGCCACCGCCTCCTGAGAAAAACCATGACACTATCACTGAGCGGCCCGCCTCAGGAACATCGCTTCGCCTGGCATCTAGCGGGGCACGCGGCCTGAGGGGGGGCTCTTTTCTTGGGACGCTTACCTGTGGCCTCCTCCGCGACGCGAACCGGCTGAAGGCTGCTGCTGGGGCCGCGTGGGAGGGAAGGGAGCCGCAGGGGGGCGTCCTCGGCGGC